CTTCATTTAAATTTTATTACATTTATCAATATCCGAACTTAAAAAAAAATAATTTTCTGTCAGCTAAGAAAATATAAAAAAAATATTAAATATAAAAAAATATTTTTATTGTAACTTTTTTCTCATTACACTAAATCATACACTGAGTGATTTTTAGATTCAAGTGAGATCGTTTGATAATATTCTCAACATTCAGCTTTCCTTTCCCTTGCTTTCGAAAAAACAATTCTTTTCTTGGTGGAAGAAGACCAAGTTGAACTTCCTCCCCTTTTCTCGTCCTTACGTTCTCCTGACTCGCCGAAGGCCCTAGGAAAAGGAAACGCGACGCCCCATTACCGTTTTATGACGCAGCTTCGGTTACATCTCCCGTTTCACCATTGAGCTGTTCGCACTACCAATAGTTTACTACATAAAGGCCACGGCCGGCCCTCCGCCGCTACCTCGATTTATCTTCGCGTGTGCCGCGCAAGAACGAGGACGCGCCTTCTTCCTCGTTAGATCGAAGAATAGTCGCTACCAAGAGAAGTGGAAACACATCGCATTTAGCACTAAATACGATTATATCTTTGTTGTTAATTCAATTTTTTTTCATGCTCATTTGCTATAAACACAGTTTAATATAGAGTTTTAAGTGTCATTTTAATACAAAATTGCTTTGTCCACAGAATTCGATTTGACTTCTTATACTTATACATTCCTAAAACTTTTCTATAATTCATTTAGAAATTAAATTTCTAATTTCTAGAGAAGATTTATCAAAATGTTCAAGTTTTCCGAGTTATATGCTCGTCTATTACATCGTAACGTAGACGACGTTAATAATCTCGGAATATTATGGGCAAGCTCTCTAAACAAGTCCTAAAATCTCCCTCTTCTCCATCCATCCCATGGTCTAGACTCCCATTCGTCAGGACGGAGAAAGGGACCCAAGATGTAGAGCGTTGGGGTACAAGTAGGGCGTATTCCTTTAAATCCGGACCTTGAGGCAAGACTATAAAAATGCGTGGTCCGACGTTCACGTTAGACAGAGAACGCGGTGTAGGGAGAGAGTGTTCCGTGTAACAACCAAACCATGGGCGGAGCGGTCAACGCACATCACGTACATGGACTATGTGTGTGTGTCTCACATGAACAGCGCTCTCATACATTATAGCTTTCGCGGTTTATTTTCATGGCGGCAATACCGTAGAACAATACTCAACAGAATAAGTGGACCTCCATATCGGGACCTTTGTGCTTCTCCTTCTGTTGAGTTTTTACCTTCGTATGAGGAGACGAAAATTTTCGAAACGAGAGCACATATATGTGTGTGTTTCGCATGAATGTATACAGAGTGTCTTAAACTTTTTGACACTCTGCTTGTGGGCAAATAGACCGAACTAAGTTGAGTCGAAAAGTTCTCTATCATTTTGCAATTTTTGTGATAGTTAATGAGATATTAATTTCTAAAGATTGTCGAATAAGCGCAGGTAAAATATTAGTGCATAAGACAACTTTAAGATAACTGTCAGGGCTTTTTATGAAATATCTTAAAGATGTTTCTTAAAAGAGCTCTTAAAAAAATTTTTATTTTTATTTGTCTGTTACTCTCTCACGAATTCACATCTCACAGCATTTATTATATTCATATTTTGATGTAGGTAATAATTAAAGTTTGACCGAAACCACATTTTGACCTCCGACCGAAACCGAAAACGAATATTCGGATGTCATTAAATTTCAGCCGAAACCGAAATCAAACCGAAACCCTGATTTTTTACTGAAATTGACCGAAATCGAAACCGAAATTTCGGTCGGACTCTAGTAATAATGTAATGGCATATCGTTAATCTGAGTTCAAAATAAAAATTCTAGACTCAGAGTTTGAATATTAATTCAGTGAGATACTATAGAGACGATGGTCTATTATAGACGCGATTCAAAACGCGCTTTTATTGATAAAAGCACGTTTTTATCTCTGAAATTCTATAATATGTGTGACGTAAAGTATAGTATGTTAGCGCGCTTATATCGTTGTAAGCACGTTCTGAATACGGACCGATATTTTTAAGATTTTATACTAAAAAATAGCTTAACGATGTTCTCTCTGTTGACAATAGTTTTAATTTCATTATTAATTATTAGAGTAACACGATTAATTGTATTTTACACGGAAGAGGATTCAATCCCTAGGATTGAAACGTCTGTATCTTAAGATTTAATACACGTAGGATCTTGACACAATACACACACGAAACATTTTGTGGTGGCTCACATTCGTTGGCGGATTCAAAAAAACCAGGAGGAGAGAGCTATGGATGGCTTCTTTGCGTTCCAAAATTCAACTCTATCAACTCCGGGTATCTTTTATTCTTGTTCAACATTCGGTGAACAACAAAGATAAAATGATGACTTAGGTTGATAGAGTCGAGTTTTGAAACGCATCCCTTGGGGTCTTTTTTTAAAAATATTTTGTAGTAAAATATTAAATATATTTTTAATATTTCTAAAATGCTTAATCACAATTTTGATATACCATGTGATACACATATTTGATAAAAATATTTTTTTAATTTAAGAAACTTATAGATTCTTACGGCTTAAGGCTTACTGCTCTATTCTATATACCGCGTTATGCAGCCAATGCAGCGTTATGCAAAAGTCACTAATTGCAAGACACTACTTATAAAATATTACTGTGTCTGCCGATAAGTGTCGATTTTGCAGCAGAACGAAGTTTTTCAGCCCTTTGGAATTTGAAAATCTGGTTAAGAGATCGTATGAGTAAAGAGGGACTTACATTATTACACGTACATAGAGATTGATAAAAAAATTAATGTTGAATGGGTTTACCAGAAATAGAAAGAGTAAATTAGGTATTTTTTGTAAGATGTTATGTCTATATGTTATCCTCTTTTGCTTATATAATTTTAAATAAAATGTTTTATGAATTAAATATTTACATAATACTTTTTCAATGTAATGCTGATGATAATTTAAATAGTTTATCTTTTCGTATTTGACCTTAAAAAATTTCGTTTACCTCACGTAAATTTAATAAGGACGGAAAGATACGAAAATGATGTAAAATAATTAAATTTTCCCTTTTTCTTTATTCGTTCGTTACAGTTATTAAATGTTTAGATCCGTCAGTGTTCACATTGGCTTTATTTCAAACGATTCATTCTTTAGAGCCTTTCTTCAATATATGATTACCTTAAAGATATCTTGTTTTATGCATCGATTTTAGACATTATGCTTATTGAGTAATTAAAAAAGAACAAAGAATTGCGAAAATTACATAATGGTAGAGGACTTTTCAGCTCAGTTTAGTCGCGTCTATCTGCTCACGAACAGTGTATCAAAATGTTCGGATACTGTGCATATATATTGACCTAGCCTAGCTTTTTTTCTTATGCTGTTTTCTGATTTTTTATGCTTCTAAGACAATGGATGCATTTCAACAAGAAACACATATTGCATTATCACATCCTTGTTGTTCGCCAATGTTAAACAAGAATAAGATGATCACTGTGTACTGAGTCGCTTCGAAAATATCCATCGATTATATCCACATGTGTGTTTGAAAACCCATAAGAATGTTTTTATATGTCATAAAAAAAAAGATTTATGGAGGGTCATTTCATTATGAGGATCAACTATTGTGTATTTATTTTTTGTAAGATATTATTTGGGTTTCTTTAATTTAAAAATGATTAATTTCATTTACATAAGGTTGACCACTAATTTTCCTAGCTCCTGAAAATTTTGTTAAGTCCTGAAAATCGAGCTTTTGTTATCGCATCTCAATTTTTAACGATTTATTTAGTCACAAACATAAAGTAATTTACTCGTCACTGTTACTTAGAAAGTAATGATTCGTTACTTTTTTTCGTTACTTTTTTCTTTTGTAATATTAAAGCAAGATATTAAATTTTAAAATTACATTACTTAATTAATATTAAATGTAATAATCAAAACTAAATTTTAAAACTCTAAGCTAGTCTCTATATAGGAAGCTTTCTTTTATATCAAACTTATCTAATATATCTTTTATAATTCTTTACATTAATATTTTTACTTTAATATGTATTTTTCTTTAGGATTTTAGATTTCCAAAGATTGTAATTCACAAATTTTATTAAAAATTGAAATTAAACAATATTTTTACACAAGTAAATTATTGAATATTATCATCAACAATATCATTATTAATAATGCATTTCAATATTTACTGCTAGTATAATTGTATTTTGTGAAAATTTATAGTTATATAAACATATACTATTTTCAGTATTGGCAGTGACTACCGAAATGCAGCTTAAGATGTTAAGTACAAAATATTTTTCAATACTTAAATTTCTACTTAAATAAAATATTTCTACTCAATCAAAAATAATGCGATCTATCGAATGGATATAAAGATAATAAAGAATATTAAAGTAACAATAAAAGTAACGGCTGAATCCATTACTGTAAAAATGTAACAATTACCGTTTTCATCACTGACAGAAAAAAAGTAACGATAATCGCGTTACAAATAATACATTATTTCCCGACTCCGTATAGTATATTTATTATTTTAGATTATTATTTTAATATTGAGTATATTTACAAAAAATTACGAATGTTATTTTTTACTAATTATGCATTTTTATCGATTTTGTAACGTCAATTACCGGTAAACAATATAAGTAGTATTGAATGTATTAAAAATCATCATTCCTTCATTTTTATTAAAAACATGTTTTGCAGCTTCATATATACATCTTAAAATTTCCAATAACTTATGTAAAAAGCAGAAACAAATTTCTACAATTAAATTGGATATTTAAACACAGTCTGTCTTTTAAACACAATATTTAAATTCAATCTGGCATTAATTTAGATACTTGTGAATTACAAGATAAATTACAAGATAGATTTAATTGACTAAGAGTTTATATGATATGTGCAAAACAAAATATTTTTTTTAAGTTTTTTTCGAATATCTTTTAACATTATAAAACAATTCTTTACAGGGATATGCTACCACTAAATTGTCAAGGCACGACTAACAGTACAATTAGCAGCTCAGTGAGTAACGGCGGTAGCATCCAATCTTTGCAGAGTATCGATTCCGATAGTCCGAGTCTCGCAATGTCACCTCTATCAACTATGGGCATGTCACCAGTCACTATGAATCCATGCAGCCCAATGGGCATGAGTCCCATGGGTCCTCATCATGGCTATGCCACTCCTGTTACTCCGTCGTCCGTTCATACCTCACATTCCCATAATGGCGGATTAAGTCCTATGAACGACGTTAAGGCTTTGTATGGACGCAGTGTGTACGACACAGGTAAATTATTAAATATTTAGAGAATATTAGATGGGAAAATTTGGAACGCTTATATAAAAATTTATGTATATATTTATATATATAGAGGAAGGTCACCGATACTGACATAGGGGGTTCTCCTAAAGCGACATCCCCTTATTTCTTAGAAACTA